CATTATATACTTTGAATTCGATGTCCACACATCGAGTTCAAGGTATTAATACACCTAGACACCGAAAACTACGGAGCGCACTATCTGGACGTCGTCATCGGCGACCTGGGAGACGTGGACATCGAGTTCAAGGTATTAATACACCTAGACACCGAAAACTACGGAGCGCACTGCCTGGACGTCGTCATCGGCGACCTGGGATACGTGGACATCGAGTTCAACGTATTAATACACCTAGACACCGAAAACTACGGAGCGCACTATCTGGACGTCGTCATCGGCGACCTGGGATACGTGGACATCCAGTTCAAGGTATTAGTACACCTAGACACCGAAAACTACGGAACGCACTGCCTGGACCTCGTCATCGGCGACCTGGAATACGTGGACATCCAGTTCAAGGTATTAATACACCTAGACACCGAAAACTACGGAGCGCACTACCTGGACGTCGTCATCGGCGACCTGGGATACGTGGACATCCAGTTCAAGGTATTAATACACCTAAACTTATTCAAACTTTGCGCGAGACGCTATACGTGAGATACGCGACAGCAGCGCCAATGCCACGTTGCGGCAGAAAAGTGAAAAGGATGCTGGCCTGGTTGACGACGACCACGACCACGACCACGATGACGACGAATAAAAATTATGTGAAAATTCACACTCGTGGACTTTGCATTGCAATATCTCTACTCATGGGGCACGTAGGAGAAAAGTAAAAACACTTTTATTATGCAAATCGTACACAAGCTATCGATTAAGCGCAGTCTCAACTTCGTCGGAACAGCCGTTGTTGAGATCCGAAATTCTGAGGGCCCGTCAACTCGTGTACTCGCGTAAACTTACACGGTCGGTCTCGCGCGCGCGGTACTAGCTGCGCTTACACTTGGCGCGAGACACTACCGTGTCTCGTGATAAACGCGAAATACAATGGACTCTCGAGGCCGAAACCGCGTTTGACAAGGCCAAAACTGATCTTGCTAATGCCAGGTTATTAGCACACCCGTCCAACACTGCCGACACTCGCGTCGTGTCAGATGCTTCGGATTTTTCCATAGGTGGGGCCCTTGAGCAGTATACCTCTGACGGTTGGAGACCATTAGCTTTTTTCTCCAGAAAGTTTACTCCGGCGCAGAGGAACTATAGCGCGTACGACCGCGAATTGACCGCGATTTATGAATCGATAAAATTTTTCAGACACTTTCTTGAAGGTCGTAATTTTAAGGTCATGACAGATGCGACAATTCGCTATACTGCGAATTGTCAGGTGAATCGATCAGACCCTACATTCCAGCATCTCTTAGAAGACAGGTCTTCGACCTTTTTCACAACCCCGCGCATCCAAACGCAAAAGTAACGGACCGCGTCATTAGACAACGTTACATCTGGCCTAACCTGCATCGCGATGTCGCGACTTGGGCGGGTAATTGTACCGATTGCCAGCAGTGCAAGATCTCTCGCCACGTCAAACTTGAGTCTGCTCAATTTTCGGCTCCTGACGGGCGTTTCGACCACGTCCATATGGACATAGTTGGTCCCTTGCTTCCTAGCAACAGCTTTACTTATTGTTTAACATCTATAGATCGGTTCTCCCGCTGGCCAGAAGCGATTCCAATCTTGGACATTACTGCCAAAACAGTAGCCAAGACATTTTACGATAATTGGGTCGCTCATTTCGGTGCACCTCGTATTCTCACGACCGATCAAGGTCAACAGTTTGAAGCGCAGCTCTTCTCAGCCCTTCTCAAACTGATCGGATGCTACGCATTCGCACTACGGCTTATCACCCTGCCGCTAACGGCATGGTCGAGCGTTGGCACCGCACCTTCAAGGCGGCGATTATGTGCCATAACACTTCGAGCTGGGTGGATGTCCTCCCTACAGTTTTACTTGGGTTACGCACGCATGTGCGTATTGACACAAAAGCCTCTCCTGCCGAATTTCTTTACGACACGGTATTACGGATTCCGGGAGAATTTTTCCTCCAGGAGGATTTTACGCCGGATCCCCAAATTTTTGTAGACGAGTAGACAGCACATGCGACAGGTGTAGCCAATACCGGTGGCACACCATTAAAAAAAACGCGTTTTCCAATTTAAGGAGTTGTCAGTCTGTTCGCACGTCTTCCTCCGTAAGGACGCTGTTAAAAAGCCTTTGGAGCAGCCTTATTCGGGCCCCTACAAAGTGCTTGAAAGGACGTCAGACAAAGTCTACACTATCGAGATTAACGGCAGATCCACGGCCGTATCGATAGAACGTCTTAAGCCTGCTCACTTCATTCCGGACGACATTCCGATCGCTAACGATCCGTCCACGTCCGATGCTACGGACAAGCCTTCCGCTTCGTCAAGCGCTCAGTCAGGTACCTTGAAAACTTATGCGGGTCCTAAAAAGAAGGTACAAATTAGGCTAGACAAAAACACTGTACGTACATCCGCACGCTAGTCAAGTCTCGACACGGAGACGTACAGTCAGTCATTTCAGTGCGCGTAAAAGTTTATTTTCCGTTGTTCCACCTCTAATAACAATAATTTTCATTCTGGTCACGGTCGCGTATTCGCTGCGGTTTATACGTACATCCTGCGTATGCGTAGTCTTTAAGCAGCGGTATAATATATATTCTGTTTTATTTCGGGTTTCTTGCAATGTACATCCTGCGTCTACATATTTGTTCTAAGCAGCGGTACTATAATATTGTATAATCCGTCTTACAATGTACATCCTGCGTCTACATTTTCGTTCTCAGTAGCGGTACTATTGTATAATTCTGTCTGTGATACATCCTGCGTATAGACTAGTTCTAAGCAGCGGTATCATAAGTTTCTGTAATATTCTTTGTAATATTCGGCAGCGCCGATTATTTGTGATAGACACTGTGTCATACCAACTATTTTTATTTCTCTCCAGCATTAGCACTCGGGGGGGAGTGTGTGGCGACTAGCGAGTTGCCCATCTATACCACGACTCAGTTCATGGTCGTTGGTGGCGCTGTCCGAGCGGGACAGAATAAGTTAAGGTCTTTGCACGTAAAAAAGCGTTAAGCGTAACCGTAATTTTAGTCCGTAATCGTAGTTTTCAACACGTACAGACAGATGGAGCAACCCAAGTAAAATTCCGAAGGTTACGGACTAAAATTACGTAGGTTCCGTAGGTTATGGACTAAAATTACAGTTACGGTTAATGCTTTTTTACGTGCAAAGGCCTTTAGTCTTAACTAGTCTCGTGCACGAACAAGACCGGCCATTTTGTCGTGTATCCTGATCTCCAATAAAGTATATCTTTTACATTCACCAAGTGAGTTGTTACTTCCGCCTTAGCCGAGAAACCAGCCTTCGGCATCTGAAGTACTGTGGCACTTCAGCCGGGGCTTCCATATTATATACATAAGCCCACAATCGTGCGGCCATTTCAAGTTACGCCTTCGTGTCGTGCATTACTTTTGCGTGATTCTGCTCTCGGTCGGGATACCGCGCGGTTCTCGCGGCGATCGTGCCTTTTCGGTGCTGGGGCGGATTGCCCGCGTTGTCTTACGCGCGTGTATGGGGGAGGCGTCGGGGATTCGCTCGTGGTATCTGCGTCGGGTCGTGTAAAGTCTGTATATAGAGACCCTTAGTATTATTTGAGTGTTAGATTTAGTTCTAATTAGTGTAACGTAATACATTCATGTATATATATATATATTTTTTTTTGTGTGGTAATAAGTGACGGGCAAAGGTAGGTTAAGTTGCCCGTCACTACCTTGTTTGTTGCAGATAGACGTAGTGCGCTTGCCTTTCTCAAGGCACGCACTGAGCTAAAATAAATCGCCGACCTGCTCCAGACATCAGCGGATTTATTGCTGCTTTTCTTTCTTTTATATATTGTATACTGTGACCGTTCGAATTGTTAGTTGCTGTGCAACGGATAGCCGCGGGAATTCTAGGGTCCGGCGGTGGGTGTCTCGAAAAGATAGAGAGTCAGGTTCAATCTTAACTACTAACTATATTTAAAGCTTATCCTACAAGAATGACTTACAACTAGCTTACAATTATCCTTATAACTAATTCCGTTATGACGGCGGTTCGCTATTCTAATCTGGCGCACGAGCGCTTCGAAACATATAGATTCTACGTGCGTGACGGCGATCGATTGGTCGGCTCGGTCGGCGGCGGCGCGGTAGTATCGGTTCGGGCCGGTATGTTCGTGCGCGGCTCGGTTCGCTCGGACGCGGCGCGGTACGGCGGTTCAGTGCGGGCGGCGCAGGCGCGGTACGTTCGGTGTCGGCGCGGTGTACTGTCAGCTCGCCGGTGACAGCTCGTGTTCGCGGTTAGGTTCGCGGTTAGGTTAGGTTAGGTTGTGTGTCGAGCCACTCAGCACATGGCGAGGATTATAAGCTTCGCTCAGCTCGCGATAGCCTACGGAGAGGATGGCCACTCAGCGCGTGGCTCGGATCGGCAGGGATCTCCCGCTCAACTCGCGGTTCTCGGGCAGGCGCTCAGCACGCGCCAGGATCATAGGCGGGTCGGTTTCTCGCTCAACTCGCGAGTTCGGAAACGGCTCGTACTCAGCACGTCGTCGCCGTGGTTAGACCTGTTCAGCTCACAGGTCGGGATCTGGTGCTCTCGGTGGATTTTCGCCGGCTTATATACCCGTTGGTTGTAGGTGCGGGACGGAGTGGTGCCCGGGGAACTTGTGCGCGGTGGGGGAAAGTGCTTTGTTGTTAACGGCACGTTACAATACTCCTACCCTTTTCAGGTTGGACCTCTTATGGTGTCACGAGTGCGGGGGGCGGTTTTCCCGTGAGCTTTCTAGTGTCTGTGACGGTTCGGGGTTAGACCGGCCGCGGTTTGAGGTGGAATCGGGTGTTCTCCTGTGGAATAAATAGCGGTCGCGTCGTTCGAGCATACCGAGTTGTGGAATTTATCGTGGTTTTCCTGTATAAAGCCCGCTGCAGACGATGCTATTTTTCCTGCTGGATTACTAGCTGGATTTGTATGCTCGCTGCATTGCGGGCAGCGATGATAGCAGTACTGCTGACTGTGTTGCTGGCTTGGCTTCAAACGGTGCTGGTTTTCGCGTGAGAGCTCTGCTTGATGCTTGACAAGATAAATATGAATCAGACTATTGCTGCTGCCATATATCATAGAAAAAAAGTAATTGCATTATTTTCATTATTAATTGTCGAAAAACGGCGACGAAACAAACATCACCAACGTATATGGAGTCGACAGTGGCTACAAAGACGAAATGTGTGTAATAATGTGCTAACCATGTTATTTGAAGAATTAGGGTAAGTATAAATCTATCAATTTGAATTTTTTGTGATATTTCTTTTTACTTATATGTATGTTATTTATATTTTCTTGCAGACCTGAAGATCCAAAATCATTTCAAAATTACACTCGAATGCAGGAAGAGGTTATGGAGGAACTATTAATTCTTGTTCGTCCATATATTGAAAAGAAAGATACTGTAATGAGAGAAGCAATTTCTCCTCGGATGAGATTGAGTGTAACCCTACGATATCTCGCAACTGGCAATTCATTTCAAGATCTCGCTTTTTCCACAAGAATTGCCCCAAATACTCTATCGCAAATTATACCAGAAACATTACAGGCTATCATTGCAGTGCTAGAAGAAAAAGTGATATCATTTCCATGCAAGCCTGATGATTGGGAAATCGTTGCTAATAAATTTCAAATGATGTGGCAGTTTCCTCATTGTATTGGTGCTTTGGATGGAAAACATATCTCCTTTCGTCCTCCACGCTGTGAAGGGTCTAAATATCGTAACTATAAAGGAACAGATAGTATTATTCTTTTAGCCTTGGTAGATGCAGATTATAAATTTATCTTTGTAGACATTGGTAAAAATGGTCGCATTCATGACTCAACAGTGTTTCGTGAAAGTCCGTTAGGAAAAAAATTAAAAGAAAACGCTCTTAATTTGCCACAACCGAATATTCTACCTGGTTTTAATTTTAAAATGCCATATGTAATTGTAGGAGATGATGCTTTTGCCTTACATATTAATTTAATGAAACCGTACCCAGAACGTAACTTGACTCGAGAGAATCGAATATTTAATTACAGATTGAGCAGGGCACGAAGAACTGCTGAAAATGCATTTGGTATTCTTGCTAATAAATTTAGAGTTCTCTTAAATCCTATACCACTTGCTGTAGAAAAAGTAGAGATCATAACGTATGCGTGTGTCCTCCTTCATAATTTTCTTTTGAATAAAAAAGTACAAAATTTTATTCCTTCTGCATATAGAACTGAAAATTCACGATATTTAGAAACACCTGAGTCAGGGTTACGAAGTGTGGGCCAACAAGGCGGAAATCATTCGTCTGTCGCAGCTGGAGAAATAAGAGATATGTTTTCCACATACTTTAATACTACTGGTGCTGTCTCATGGCAGTATACTGCTGTGGAGAGAGGAAACTGTTAACTATGTTTAAATAAATTTAATTAAAAAAATTGTAACTTTGTATGTTTGGATTTTTATTTATTTATTATAGATTAAAGAATTGTGAAAGTTATTAAAACGAATAACTTAAAATAAACTTTGTGTTTACATTTCCAACTTGTCAATAATACTTAAGAATATAATGTTATTAATATCTTTAAATTGAAAACTGAGAAAACTGAGAATAACTTTCTTATATATTAAAACATTAAAATTATTTAACAACATTAATTTTTTTCTTTGAATAACAGTTATATAAATTTTTAATATGTAACTTATATAATATCTAAAGAATACATGTATGCGAAAAAATAAATTTCAAATTAAAACCACAAATGTAAATAAACTAAATATTATTTTTACATTTTTCAACTATTAAATAATATAATATAATAGTTATTAATGTAATGTATACCTGAAAGTATAAATATCTGAAGGATGCACGTGCGAAAAGAAAAATTTCAAATTAAAACGAATAAATTAAAATAAATTTTGCGTTTACATTTCTAACTTTTCAATAATACTTAAGAATATAATGTTATTAATATCTTCAAATTGAATACAAAGTAAAAAATAAAAACAGGAAAACAATTTCTATCAGGTTTGTCTTACTTCTGTTACATCTTTCGTACTAGCTTCTATAGCCGTACAAACCAATGTATTCATTATTTCAAATTTAAATATTTCATTTTTAAAACGTTTTAATATCGATCCTATAAATACCATACAGGCATCCACGGGATCTGGTACAGTATTTGAAGAATTACTAGATACATCCATTGATTTTAAAATTATGGGTTGTTTTAATGAATCTGCTAATGCCTCAATAGCTCCAGCATAAATAGTATCTTCAGTATTTGATTTACGTTTCTTCGTGGTTGTAACTGGAGGAAGTTGACAATGTGTGCTATTACTACTAGTACTAACTGATGAAGATATGATAGAATTTGCTGGACTAATAGAAGGAGATGGACGAGAAATATTTCTAGAAAGCAATGTTTTATCAGGAATCAAAGATGCAGTATGAGAACTGATTGATGAAAATTGGTCATTAACTGTTGTAACTGATTCTGATGGTTTAGTAAGAAATGTAGTTGATTCGGCTATAGATTTATCAGCAGAATTGTCAAAATATTCATCTTCTAACCATTCTTCATCCATAAATGTCTCATTTACTTGAGATAGTTGTTTAGTCTTTGACAATTCTTCATTCTACAATAGAAAATATATAAATAAATACATAAATAATAGTAAAATATATAAATAGTATAAGAAATAAATAATTACTTGTTATTAAGAAGCATATACTATAAAATTCTAATAATTTGTCACAAAAATAATTTATATATTTATTTCACAAAGTATTCACTCATTTTTAATTTAAAAGAACATAGTATTTTACCTGATTTGAAATCAACAGTTGTTCTGTAGAATTTTTTTCTATAGAATTTCGACTTTTCCGAGGCGTGCAATAAGCTTCTAAATATTTTAAATTATTAAAATACCAGAGATTCGGTTTGTATACCTGTAAATATAAAAAAAAGTTTTTACAAAAATGAAAAAGAAATTAAACTAAGAAAGATTAAAGGAGTCCTAGTCTGCAATAGACGATTTAAGCCCGAAGCCCTTAAGAAATTGACCAATCATGGTCAAGTATGAGTAGAATATGCCACTGTGATTAGTCAATTTCTAAAAGCTTAGGGTTTAAATGTCTATTATAGATGAGCACTTAGATTTTTATATTTACGTCGTCAGTTCCAATTCCAGATTTCATTGATGATTTTATTTTCGCGTTTTCAATATTAAATTGAGTCCGCAAGTTATGAAACTTTATTGAACACTCGCTTTCTGTAGTTCCTGGTCTAAACATTAAGACAGCAGCACACACATGTTTTAATGCTTCACTTCGGATATGTTTATTGTGGTAATTAGGTGTGTTTATTGCGTATAAACATGGCTCTTCTTTGTAGGCCTCTATTAGAGTTGTAATAGCTTCCTTTGTCCATTTCTTTTTTCACTTTTGCACGTGGAGGACATCATGTGTTTTCTATTTTCTGTCAAATGATACTTGAGCTCGCTGATACTTGAGTTCACTTGTTGGTCTGGTTTGGTGTTGGCTCCCGATCCAGCGACAGGATCGACACGGCTTGAGTTCACTTAAGTACTGTAACCTCACTTAAGTACCTAACCTTCATGCAAAGAAAATATTTTGATCACGTTACCTAAAGCTACATTCTGATTGGTTCTTGCAATGAGCAAGCATAAAACTAAGCAAGAAAAATAGCACCTGATCTATCACGGAAATCTAGGAGATCAGCCAGCAGGGTGACCAGCGGGTCACACAATTTCCAGCATAGAAGTTAGCGAGATTGCCAGCAGAGGCGCCAGCTAGTAATCCAGCAGGAAAAATAGCATCGTCTGCCGCGGGCTTAAGAGTCACGTTGGTGGGTCACGTAATTGGCGCAGGGGAGAACGGGGGTGCGGGTATGCGATTTCCGTTCTCCCTAACCCCTTGTGACTCCGCTCTTGTACCGAGGGGAATTGGAGTTTCCGCGTTTTCGAAGCGGATTCGAACTTGTGTTAGGGGTTAAAGCCACGTGTGTTGGGGTGTGCGTCGGGTGCTTTTGCTGGCGAAATTGACGTGGCCGGTTGTGATCACGTGGTTACGCCTTTTCGATCTTGGGCATCGGGACTTGGCGATTTCGTGACTCCGCGTTGACATCGTTGGGGTTAGAGCCTCGCGCTTTTTGTACAAGGGTGGTGCCTCTCGTAGCGCGAATGGCTGTCCCGGGGGTTGTGTGGCAGCTGCACGTCTGTAGTGTCTCAACCTCTTGCGTGGTTAAACTAGCGTCGCGTCGGAGAAATGGCGGTTGAGGTTAGGTCTTCCTGCCCCCGCACTTGACACCCAGCGATAGCGAGGCAAAATATTGGTGTTCTCTAACAGGCGGGGTGGTGCTCCCTGTCACGTGTGGAATTGCGATCGCGGTAAGGAGTTCTCCGAGGAGGTCTAACAATAAGGGTGCGGTTACATGCGGCGTAACTTGCGTAAGCGTAACTGCAGCGTAACTTGTGCTGACCAATCACGTCGTCTCATTTGAGTGTTAGCTTTTGCCTAGTTATTTTACGCTCTTTACGCTATTGTCATTACGCCGATGTCAATTTCTAGCGGAACTAGTGGATGATTGTGCAGGCTGGTGTAGTCAGGTGTAGTTATTACAACACAGGACGGGACAAACGAGAAAAATGAATAAGGATCAAATAAAGGTAAGTTACAAGTAGTTTCGTATAGAATTTATTATAATTATAATTTATGTAGTGTTCCTTGCGGAGAATCAGAGGTGTTCTCTCGTTCTATACTTTTGGTCGCCCTGAAAAGGGCGGTTTGTGTGTCGCCCTGAGAAGAGCGGTTGCGAGTCTTCTTCGGGGATGGTCTCAAGTCTGTGATCCGCCCGGTGTCGGACCTTCTGGCGGCGGCACGTTCTCCTTTTCCTCCTTCTTCGTCGGCTTTGTCGGAGAGGGTCCGAAGAGGCTATCCAGTTGCCGGCGTAACCTCTTGGAGGACTTCTTCCTGCGGCCTGGCGTCCGCGGCCGACCGACGGGTGTACGCGGAGGGGAGCTGTCTAGGCCTGCCGTGCTCTGCGTTCCTCTCGGCGAGGATGGTTGCGCCACGTACACAGGCACGACCCGAAATTCGGCCGAATCCTGCGGAGTCGTCTGAGTGGCTGCGTCGACGGTGGCAACACTGCAGTGGACTTGGGTTCCTTGCTCTCGGAACCGGGCTCCTATATTTACAATCGGCTGGAGTCTCCACGGGAAGTAACTGTGTCCAAGTATCGGTGGAGGTATAGGCCTCTGGCGCAGTCGTGGATCCGATGGTGGTCCGGGATGCGACGGTGGCAGAGGCGGTACGCGCTCTGGGCTTCCTGGTGGACGTTCTGGTGGCGGGACGTCTCGGGTTCGTCGCCGGACTCGTGGCAGGATCTCTTCGTGGTGCCAAGGCCCTCAGGAGCTCTCTTGGGTAGAAGTCGAGGCCCGTGGAGCTCGCTCGAGGAAGTGGTCGAGACCTTGCAGAAGCTCGCTCGAGTGAAGATGCCGAGGCCCAAGGGGCTTACTCGGTGATGATACCGCGGCCTAGGGAGGCTCGCTCGGCGATGATACCGAGGCCTAAGGAGGCTCGCTCGGCGATGATACCGAGGCCTAGGGAGGCTCGCTCGGTGATGATACCGAGGCCTAGGGAGGCTCGCTCGGCGGAGATACCGAGGCCTAGGGAGGCTCGCTCGGCGAAGATACCGAGGCCTAGGGAGGCTCGCTCGGTGAGAATCCAAGGCCCGAGGGGCTCGCTTGGAGGAAAATAATCGAGGCCCGTGGGGCTCACCCGATCAGTACTACAGACGACTACTGGCACTCGCGAATCGTCTCCGACGAGAAACACTTATTGAAATTTCGTCGCCGCCGGAGGTCTTAATATACCCATCGCCACCGAATTCTGAATGCGAGTATGCTGCCGGCGCTGTGTCCACCTATCGGCGGCGCGCCGTACTACCGCCGCGCGCCGTGTCGTCGGCGCTCGCAGGAGCGGCGCCGTGACGTGTGGTGCCCGCGCGCCTGATGTGGCGTGGGTCGCCACAATTTATTATAATTTGTTATGAGCAAGTTATGATAGCATTCGATTATATCTGATCGACTGCTCACGGCACGTCGATATGAGGTTATGATGATTTTAAGATTTCAATGCTTTTCCTTTGGCTTTTTCATCCTAATGCATTATTGTTCACATTTTGTACGCTTGCCTTTTAGCACAAATGTGGGTATTGCGGGAGGCTGTTCGAATTTACATATTTTATCGAGCATGATTGCTTTAAATATTATGTGGAGGGTGAAGATAGCATTTACGTAGACGAAAACTATGTTGTGACAATATGTATGTTTACTGCAACCTTCTATTCTTTAGACATATTTTATCGTCTCATAACACAATAATTAAACTTTTCCATTTGTTAAATAATCAAAAGCAGTACAAAGACTGTGGAAGGTCCTGCATGTAAAGATACCTTGGATGAACTCTTGATTGGGGCTGTGAAGGAAAGGAGGGCGCTTTACGACTATACTATACCTGCTTCTCAAAGAACAAATTTACGTAAAAATGCGTTATGGTTAGAAATATCCAATATTTTAGGAGGTACTATATGTAATTTTTTTTCTATCTGTACATCTCTATGTCTAATCTTTTGTGAATACACATACAGATATTTTATACGTTATGAATCAATTATACATTATATTCGTTAGGGGCTCTTAGTCCAGAGGAGGCTAAGGCTCGCTTTAAATACCTGCGAGATAATTATACGAAAGCTCGTAAAAAGGCAAAAGCCTATATTCCCAGTGGATCAGCAACTAAGCAACTAAAGCTGGTGGACTAAAGAAATCAAAATTTAGATTTTACGATCTCATGTCGTTCTTGAACGACTTTCTTGAAACACGGCAATAAGTTCTTTCTCTTCAATGTACAAAACTGTACCACTTTCTCAAGTATATTGAGACTACAGCTTGCTTCATGTTTGACACACTCACATAGGATGCTGTATGTAAATATACAGGGTGGGCCATTTTAATTTATACAGTCGATTTTTTAAAAAACTAAAAGATATGAAAAAATGTTTCAGACAAAAGTTGTATGGTTTCGAGGGGGACATAAGATGGTACCATAGGTTTGACTTTGAAGAGTAATTTGAAGGTCACATAAAGGTTACCTTCAATTTCTTAAATGGAACCTACTATTTCTCGCTACATATTCTTGTAGGTTATCTCGTGAGCTTTCCAAAACACTATAATAAAGTATTTTTTTGTTAAGAACTTTTTGAGTTATTAAGGTTTGAAAGTTTCAATATTTAGACGTAAATTACAAAATATCTTGTAAAATATTCATTTTTTTATCATCTTACCTTAATACTTTTTTGAACAGAATAATGATACAAATCAACTGGTGTAAAGAAAACAAACAATTTTGTAACAAGCAAAAAAAAATTTTTTTTAAATTGCTTGTTACAAAATTGTTTGTTTTCTTTACACCAGTTGATTTGTACCATTATTCT